AATAATTTAAAAACTTTTATTAGTAGTACTTTTTAATTATAGTTTTGAGGTATCTATCTTTTTACACTGGCCAATATAATAATATAGTTAATATAAATAATTATTATGCAGTATTTAGACTATGTATAAATAATATTTGAAACTTGTTACCTCCAAGTGAAAAATGGGTTTGTATGCAAACAGTAATGCATGTACACCATTTATTGTACATACATACATACGCATGATTCTAAATGGGACTATATTTATGTCAAGAGAAGAATTTAGCATACCAGAACAAAACTATATATCTGTATATCAATATATACAAAAAGAGAATTAAATTAATAAATATTATGTGCCCCTTCTCTGCACATAAGTGTCGTAACCAACCTTAACCAAGTTATGTCCTTTTAAATAAATAAATTATAAATAATAATAGTAATAATACATATGTATGTATCATTTTAACCAGTTTTAAAAAGTATATAATTAGTTTCTAATTATGTATAACACAAATATATATCAATATTAACAAAAACAGATTTACATACTAACAAAACAGGATAGCTTATCCATTTTAATATACCTGGGGTATAGGCTTTTAACCTATAATCACAAACAAATAATTTTTTTAAAAAATATATATAATTATTTATTAGAGTTATAGGCTAAAAGCCTATACTCTGGGTTATATTTAAAATTTAACATATATAAAAATAAAAAATAAAAAATATATTAATTATTTTTTATTATAATAATTAAAATAAAAAAATTAAAAAATATCAAAGTTATAAAAATTTACATACTAGCAAAACAGAATAGTTATCTATTTTAATATACACAGGGTATAGACTTTTAACCAGCATGGTGGACATTTGTTTTAATTGGTTAAAAACAAATAAACAATATGTACAATACAGATTATTATATAAATTTAAATATTTGAAAATTTATTATTTTAATACTTAGAAAATAAGCATGGCAGACATTTGATTGGCTTGAAGATCACTGAGTTACACAATATAAAATAAAAATTTTAAAGTAACCTTTACTATAAAAAACTACATCGTCAATTAGCAACTCATGGCTTTACACAATAAATTTTTTTTTTAAACACCTTAAAGTATTTTTTATTTCTTTATATATCTTTAGAGAAAAAAGATCAGTATAGATCAGTATCCCTAAGAACTTTTACTTAGAGGGCAATTTTACTATTACTACTATACTATTACTACTATATTATTTATATAAGCTTTAAATCTGGAGATGATTAACAAAAAAAAATTGAGATGTAAAATTTACTAAAACCTTTTCACTAAATAACTTTGAAGATAAATTTTTGATGTTATTTTATTTATTAGACTTTATATTCGGTGAGTCAAATATAATTCTACCAGTAAAATCTTTCTGGTTCATCCCTGAAAATCAAAATTTTGAGTAAACAAAAGTAATCAAACTATTAAAGCTTGGTACTTCACTAAATAAATATTATATTGGGTTCTCCAGAACAAAGAACAAACTAATACTACACAGTATTACAACTTTCGAACAAAATTAAATACACAAGGGACTGTGTTTTCTCCACTTCTCAGACCTTTGAGCCTTTTCTCACCTTTAACGGTCACTATACTATAACTATGGATACACACACCTCAACTCTCAACTAGTCTTCACACTCCTCTAATCAAGCACCTAACAACCTCCCTCCCACAAAAAGAAGCAGACAAAATGACTCCAACAATACAGTTACTCAAATAGACTACTCCTTGACTATTCCTTCTCCAACTGCTCTTACAACACAATCACAACAAAGTGGGCAAAACACCATACCCCCAGAAAACAACAAACCAATCGGGGCCCCTGTGCCCATTCCAGCTAGCATGAGAAAAACCGCAGAAATTCCCACGCCGATCATCACAACAAACACTGTATCCAATTTGGTACAACCCACCTTGGCAGTCGATTTACAACCTTCCGATCCTTTGGGGCTTTCCGGACCTAAAAACACACTTACAACTGAGCCCAACCTATTAATGGCTAACAACCTAGCCCTTTTATCTAACTCTACTACCAACTCACACCAAGACTTACCCATGGACACCCACTCAAATGCTACAATCGAATCCTCACCAAAAAAATTTTATACCACTGCACTTACGGGTAACCAAAAACCTAAACCTCAACACAAATTTTCGGGCCACCAAGACTTCAAATGGTGTATCTCAGTTCTTAAAGATCTTGCAACACAATGTACCAATGAATTTGATAAACTTAAATGGCACAACAACTACATTATCTCTGCATTTGAAGATATCACTAAACTTTAAGAATTTTTTGTCCACAAAATAACTTCCATTCCCACTTCCTACAATTTACCACCTGCAATTAACGGAAAATTTGTCCACTTGGACATTGTCTTCTTCAGATCCTTTACTCGCAATACTTTTACCCAACCTCAACACAAGAAAGAATTTGAAACTCTTTTACAAATTGCAACTGAAAAATACAAGCGTTGCCACGATGCTCGTTATATTAACAAAATCAACTGGGACCAACTCTTTTAAAGACTTAAGACAAAATTCGCACTAGACTTCTTATATTACCTGTTAAACTTTGCAAAAATCACCACGCCCTTCGATTTTAAAAAAATCAGAGCTACTTTAACCTCTGCTTACACCTTCTTTCTAAAACCCTTACCTTCTTCTCCACATGGCATCACCGATAATATTATTCAAATTCTTCTATTTAAACTACCTATTACTAACCGCAGTGACACCAGGGCGGTCATTCTCGCTCTGCGCAAAATATACATATTTGATAAACTACACGATAGCTACTTCGAAACCCAATTACTACCCTGACCACCCCTCTGAACTCAACCTCGAAATATGTGATTTATTCCCTATCACCGAACCATTCAAGCTCGCATATTTAGCTCTCTACTATTAAAAACTATCCAAATACTATATCGTAAGCAAAAAAATTCCACCACTCTACTTCAATCTACTACTACAAAAACCTCGTTTATCTAGTACACCACAAAACTTAAACTCAGCTACTCGACACTTATTCCCTTGCAATCCCAAAAATTCTACTGAATTTCATCACTTTGTTGAGGTCCTTTGCCAACACTATAGTTTTAAACGTGTCCCCTCTGACTTTTTCGTGCAGAAACAGCCTCTTCCTCAAAATCTAACACAAGTAGCTACTTCAAAAAAATACTCCTTCCCTATCAACGACCCAATGCTAGCAAAAGAGTTTCTAGCAGCTATTCAAAACAAATACCGCTTTACTTTACTTCTTCCCGAGCAATATATGACAGTCAACCCTACAAACAAACTAGAACTACTCTTGATTGCTGATGAGATAAAGCTGGTCAACATTATCACACCTATTACAAGCCTCAAAGTCTTAGTTGAGACTGCACATCTCTTAAGAAAATACTACTACTTTAAACAAATCCCAGTTGACTGGATCAACATCTCACAAAAAGCCTCAATCAAAACAGATTGTCCCTCTCTACCATCCACACTTGATGAAATCAGAGCTATAATTAATTATATATCTACACCTGAACCAATCGTCTTGCTAGCTACTTCTCAACAAGAAGTTGAAACTGCTATTGCATTTTTACATACTCACTTTACCTTCAGAGGGGTTTATCTCCATATTATCAATATCTCTGAACTCCCTGTACCTAAATGAGAACTTTTTAATAATTACGTCTCTGATAAGTAAATTCACTAATATATATGATTAACTATCGGAAACTAACATCTTACTTTCTAACCATACACCTTCTTCAACACCTCATACTAACTATTACAACCCCACCCCTCCTATCGAACAAACCTTCAACATACTTAACTACAATGTCTAAGGGATCAACCAGTCACTAAAACTACAACTACTACTAGAATACTGTGATTCAAATGAAATAAATATAGCCTTTCTGACAGAAACAAAAATTAGCTGCATCTACTAACCCTATAGTACTTACTAACCCACTTTACAAGATTTACACATCAAACTGTGATCAAACTAACGCAAATATTCATGAATTATGTAAAGGTGTTGCAATAGTTTTAAAACTATCCATCCAACTACACATCCATAAAATTAGCACTATACCTGGTATTGCCCTTCTTATTGATCTATACTTCTCTGCAAATAATAAGATACGCCTTATAGCAACCTACCTACTATTATCCTCAACACCATTACTACATACTGCCCAACAACAAATTATCTCCTAGGTTAATGATAGTTGCTCTCAAAACATAAACCTCATAATTGCTAGTGATTTTAACTGTAATACCAATCGCACCAACTACTACAGATAATGCCCCTTACTCCAACACCTCATATCTATCAGCTTAATAAGCCTATTACAACTACACCATATCACTGAACCTATCTGGAATCAGAACCAGTTGTCAAGCCAAATAGATGATATATAGGTTTCTTCTGAAATCGCACTCTCATTCACTATGCCCCTTATTCTTGACTCTACTAATATTAGTAATCACCAAATACTCACCACTTTACAACATATATACCCCACAGTCAAACAACCCTGGCTCAAAAAACAGAACCAAAAAACTTATAACTATAATCGTATAAATTTCAAACTCTGAGAGGATTTCACTAAATTTATCTCAGCCCACATTTTAGCCTCCACTTACTATCACTAGCAAATTACCAACACACACCAACTAAACAAAACCTTCAACAATCTTAACAATAACATTAATTGGTAATCCACCAGTCAACCAGAGAATAATCATAGTAAAATGTAACTTAAATTACTTATAAAAATTGGGGGTCTCCAAATGTGGTGTGCACGCATCTAAAACTTTTTTTATACTAAGTTAATCACTTTTCTAACTTAAGAGACTTTTGTAGAGCTTGTCAAAACGCATC